AAACACGGGGGGGGGGGGGGGGGTTAGTGTCACATGCTCCACGCTGGGAATTCAGGAGGCTGGACTGGTGCTAGGAGTGTGGGAGCGTCAGCTTACGTGTGGAATTGAGAGGCGGGGTGGGAGGGGGCAGGGGTGCACCCGGGTGGCTCAGTTGGTTGAACTTCTGACTTTGGCTCAGGTCCTGATCTCATAGTTCATGGGTTTAAGAACTGCATCAGGCTCTTTGCTGTCAGGGAGGAGCCTGCTTTGGATCTTCTGTTCCTCTCTCTCTCTGTCTCTGTCTCTCTCTCTCTCAAATAAATCAACATTTAAAAAAAAGAGAGAAGGTCAGGGGTCAAAGGGACTCCGGAAGTCACCAACGAAGGGCGAGCAGGAGGGAGCGGAGCAGAGCAGAGGAGAGGAATCCCCGGCCAGAGAGCCGGGGATCACCCAAGTCAAGAGAAGGAAGTGTTTGAGGGCAGGGGAGGCTCATCGGTGGTGCCGTGTCCACATGTCCACAAGTGTCACAGAGATGCCACAGCGGGAAGCCACTAATGACCAACAAACACTCCCCAGAATGGCCCAGGCTGGAGAGAGGAGGTGAGAGGTGGGTTGGAGGGCTGCGGAGAAGCCGGAGAACAACGTGGGCGGTCTCTGGGGGAGCTGCAGGGCAAGAGGTCTCTACCTGTCTCTGTTTCTCTTACTGAGGGAGATTAGATCTCCTTTGTGTGCTCAGCAAACCACCCCACAAAGAGGGGGAGGCCGAAGACGCAGGAGCCGGAGGGTGCTGCTCTTGGAAGGCACAGGCAGGGGCAGTGCCCACGTGCAGGCCTGGCTTGGGGGGCGGGGGGGGGCCCTGGGGCCCTAGAAACAGGGCGGCGGATTAAAATAATCAATATTTGTAAAGGGTGTTGCCCAGTGCTGGCACATAGAAGCTTCTGTGTTAGTCTGTTGTGCATGGCGGCCTAGGACGCTTGTGAAGGAGGCTCCTCCCCCAGGAGGCTCCTCCCCCAGGAGGCTCCTCCCCCAGGAGGCTCCTGTGGTACCTGCCAGCGACTCCCCCGCCAGTTCCCATCCCTCCTGCCCCCTTCCTCTGGTCCTCAGTTACTGCCCAGCTGGGCACCCCGCGGGAGCCTGGCTGGGTCCCTAACGACGACCCTATGACTATGGCCTTGTCATTGTTAAAAAACCTAGCACCTGGCTGGCTCAGTCGGTTGAGCGTCCGACTTCGGCTCAGGTCATGATCTCACAGTTCGTGGGTTCAAGCCCCACATTGGGCTCCCTGCTGTCAGTGCGGAGCCTGGACTCTGCTTTGGATCCTCTGTCCCCTCCTCTTTCCGTCACTCCCCTGCTTGTGAGTGTGCTCTCTCTCTCAAAAACAATAAACATTAAAAATTTTAAAAACAAAGAAGAAGAGGGATGCCTGGGAGGCTAATAAGTTAAGCGTCTGACCTCGACTCAGGTTTTGCGGTTTGTGACTTCGAGCTCCGCTTCGGGTTCTGTGTCCCTCTGTCTCTGCCCCTCCCCCACTTGTGTGCTTGTGCTCTCTCTCTCTCTCTCAAAAGTAAATAACCATCAAAAAAAGAGAAAAATAAGACGAAACTTGGGGGACCGCTCAGTGGCTAGCAGTCCCCACAGTTGCAGGCAAGGGACAGGGCCAGAGACTCCAGATTTGGGGTTTTACTCCACACAGTGTCAAAGAAATCAAAACAAGCCCATCGTTTTGATGAAACCAAACTTAGAGACACATCAGGAAAAGAACCACGCTGGGTCTCGGCAAAACAGAGCAGCCACAGGGCTCTCAGTGCCGCAGGGAGCAGAGCAGCTCAGGGCCCCAGAGTCAGCTCCAAGGCGCAGAATCTTCGAGAAATCCACTCTCGGCATGCCGGAGGTAACACTCTGAGAATCACAGGGCCTTCAGTCTCGAAGGGACACCACGAGGCAGGTGGCTCAGCGGTTAAGAGAAGGACCTGGTACTTAAACGCCAGGCTCCAATCCTGTCTCCACCACAGATGAGCTGTGTGACTTTGGGCGAGCTTATTTACTTCTCTGTTTCTGTTTCCTCTGCTGTAAAATCAAAGTAGGGCTGTTGTAGGAATTCTGTGAATGCTCTCATCACACACAACCTTAAGCTAACGTATCTTGGAAGCATGGAGTCTTTAAGTAGTTTTCTATTCTAACTCCTCATTGCATAACTATTTCTAAAGAATCCCCGAAAGAGGCTTTTTGTGTCTGAAAGCAGAGAGGACCACCTCACACAGCAGCCAATTCCACTTAAAAAAAAAAAAAAATTAGGGGCGTCTGGATGACTTAGTAAATTAAGCATCTGACTTCAGCTCAGGTCATGATCTCCCGGTTTGTGAGTTCCAGCCTCGCATCAGGCTCTGTCCTGACAGCTCAGAGCCTGGAGCCTGCTTTGGATCCTGTGTCTCCCCCTCTCTCTGCCCCTCCCCTGCTCATGCTCTGTCTCTCCGTGTTTCTCAATAATAAATAAACGTTAAAAAAATTTTATTTTAACGTTTATTTTAACATTATTTATTATTGGGAGAGAGAGCGCAAGTAAGGAGGGGCAGAGAGAGGGAGAGACACAGGATCCATAGCAGGCTCCAGGCTCCGAGCCGTTCAGCGCAGAACCCAGCTCGAACTCACAAACCGTGAGATCATGACCTGAGCTGAAGTCGGACGCTTAACTGACTGAGCCACCCAGGCGCCCCACCAATTTCACTCTTAAATCACTTTGATTGAGAGCCACAGCTTTCTTCTCAGGAACTTCTATGCAGCCACTTGTGCCCCCCATATTTGCTTGCTCTCTTCCATGGGGCAGATTTACACAAGTAAAATTCACCATCAGTGTCACCACCCTGTGCCAGCTAAGAGCTTAAGGGCTTACTGCCAGGGTTGTGACATCGTGGGTACGGAAGCTTTCTGCTATAAACACTTGGACCCACCCACTCATTCAGTAATGCCAGGCTGTGTGCTAGGTGCCAGGGACATAGCGGTGGGCAGATCCGAGGCCCCCTCACATAGAGAGTTTGCAGCCTAGTGGGAAAGACACCAATCAAACAAGCAGTAGACCTGAGGGGGAGAAGGGACGGAAGTGCAACACAGGTGCTCAAGGTACAGCCCAGGCTCTGGGAGGAGGGAGAGATGGAGCCAGGTTCTATTCCTTCTAGCGTTCTGTGTGATGTTGAGCACACTTATCAACCTCTCTGATCCCTGCTCTCCCAGATGACCAGGAGGAAAAGGCCCTAGGGACTAGGAAAAGTAGCCTTTCTATCCCACAGGACCCTGGGAGGGTCCCAAGAGACAGTGGAGGGGGTGGAGGAGACACTGACCTTGTCTACTCTCTTTCCCACTACAGAACCTTCTTGGCTTGAATTGTGTGTAACCCAGAAAATGATTGGAAGATGAATCTCACTGTGTCTAAGGTGACAGGGAGTCTGTGTACTTTGGCCCTCATTGGTCTTGGGTGACCGTGTGGCCCCGTTTAGAATGACATTAATGTAAAGAGGAGTCTCTGAAGGGCCTGGTGAGTGGCAGTTTGCTTCAAGGTAAAGATTCTCCTCCTCAGTGGAAGAGAAAGCCACGTGGGGTGAAGGCTCCTTTGCTCCCTTCTCTCCCTTCCTATTTTGGACACTGTTGTGTGAGGATGTGATGCCTGGAGCTGTGGCAGCCGTCTTGTGACCATGAGACATCTAGCCTAAGAACAAGTACCCACCTACCGAGAGTGCTAAAGCAGCAGATGGTGTGAAGGACTGAATGTTTGTGCCTTCCCCCCAACTTTCACGTGTTGAAATTCCGAATCCCCAATATGACTGTCTTGGCAGATGAGACCTTTGGGAGGTAAATAGGTCACAAACGCAGAGCCCTCCTGAACGAGATTCACGCCCATATAAAAGAGACCCAAGGGGTCTCTCCCGCTCTCTGCTGTGCCCGGATACAGGAAGTTGGCAGTCAGCAGTTTGAAAGAGGGTTTTCACCAGAACCCAACCATGCCAGCACCCTGACCTTGGACTTCCAGCTTCTGGGCTGCTGTTTATAAGCCACCCAGCCTGTGGCACTTTGTTGTAAAAGCCCAAGCAACTAAGACAGATGGAGAGAATGAGGGTGCCAGGTGACATGCCAAACTGCAGAACAAACCCTAGGCCACCCGCCATCCAGACATCTGGCAAAGTAAGCAACAGACATCCTTACGAGTTAAGCTACTGGCAGTTGAGTTTTCAGTTGATAGGGCTAAACACATCCTTTCTTGACCCTTCTAGCTCCTTCTCCACCTTCAAAGCCAGGTGAACGATTATCTCCTTCAGGCAGTTTTTTCACGAAATGTTTGCTGACCATCAATATTTATTAGGTGCCCCCATGGCCCCTGCTCTGTTTTGGGTGACAGTATGGTGGGAGGGCCCTGATTACAATGAATAGTGGAGAAATAGATAGTAATGAGCTAGATGATTGAGTTGATTATAAATTGCAATGAATGTTATGTATTAAACAGTGGGATGCTGGGATAAAAAATGTCAGGGTGACCCCTTTGGGTGGAATAGTCAAGGAAGGCCTTTTGGGGGAGGAAATATTTTTTTTTTAATGTTTTATTTATTTCTGAGAGAGGGAGAGAGAGACAGAGAGACAGTGTGAGCAGAGGAGGGGCAGAGAGAGAGGGAGACACAGAGTCTGAAACAGGCTCTGGGCTCTGAGCTGTCAGCACAGAGCCCGACACGGGGCTCAAACCCACGAACCGTGAGATCATGACCTGAGCCGAAGTCGGACACTTAACCGCCTGAGCCGCCCAGGTGCCCCTGGGGGAGGAAATATTTAAGCAGAGCCCTGAATGGGTGCACAGCACAGGGCAGGGAGGCTCCCAGGCAGTGGAATGACCTGGCCAAAGGTCCTGAGGTAGGAAACAGCTCACGCAGCAGGCAGGGGGGAGGGGAGAATACCAGAGACAGCTCCGGGTCTGACTCTGCTCAGTTTTATGGTTGTACCTGCGTCCTAAACCGGAAAGGCCAGGCAGACCCATCCTCCCGTGGATGTCACCAAGCTGGACTGCTGCTTCCTGGTTCTGACTGCCTCCAGGCTCCCCCACCACCCCCAGTGACTGAGGCGGGCTGGCCAGGGGCAGAGGAGAGGAAGACAGAAGGAGGGTGCGCTAAAGCTGCATTGAAAGTCCCTCACGTCGCCACGGACCCTTGGGCTTTTCGGGGAGTGAAGGCTCTGCCGCGAAGCACGGCTGAGTCCTGGTCTGCAGCTGGTGGCCTTGGCCATCAGAGTCTGAGACACTCTTGAGGTGAATCAGTTCTTGGGGCAGAGAGAGAAGGAGATGGGGAAGGGGGAGGTAGGAGAGGAGGAGGGGAGAGGGGGGAGAGGGGAGGGATTTGGCTCAGAATGTCTTGGGTCTCTTCCCTCTGCAGCCCGGTCACACCCTTCCTCTGTGACATTTATTGCTGTGGACTTTTATGTTTCAGACACCGAGTCTTAGCATTCTGGAACACCAAGAACTTAGAGATCAAGCCAGGCGTGCCTAACACCCAGGTGAGGGGGAGGAGGGCCACAGGGCTGCACTCGAACCTCCCGGATCTGAGTCACACTCGCCCCCATGGTTGGACCCTCGGGCTCCAGTGCCAGGTTCCTGGGCCTTGGTGTCCCCAAGTCCCCTCACTAGGCTGCAATCGCAGGTGTGGCCATCTCTACATCCGTGAAATGGAAAAGATAAAAGAATGTGCCTGGGGGTGGGGGGAGGGGCACCTGGGAGGCTCAGTCGGTTAAGCCTCCGACTTTGGCTCAGGTCATGATCTCACGGTTCATGGGTTCGAGCCCCACGTCGGGCTCTGTGCTGACAGCTCGGAGCCTGGAGCCCCAGGCTTACCTAAGGCCGTCCGGCAAGCCTGTGGCAGGTCCGGGGCTGGCCCCTGGCTGGTGCTGGGTCACTGAGCTCACTGAGATTTGACGGCTGCTAGGACTTCTTCACCACCTGGGGAGATGTGCCGTGGAGACATCAAGCTGCTACTCACAGTCACACAGAGACTCAGACCATGTCCCCCAGGGGCACACGGATGTGACCACAGATGATGCTTGAGCACCTATGTACACCCCTTCACACACACGCGGACAAACTGACGCTCACAGGTGCGCACACGCACACACACACACTACCCACGCCTCCTCCTGGAGGCCCCCCACGACCTTCCCTGCCCCTCCCTTCATCCTTTGTCTCCCTCTGCCAGCCACATATTGTGGCTGTTTTCCCCAAAGCCCCAGCCTGTCACTTGAAAGAGGGGGGAGAGGGGCGCCTGGGTGGCTTAGTCGGTTGAGCGTCCGGCTTTCGCTTGGGTCATGATCTCGTGGTTCGTGGGTTCGAGCCCCGCGTCGGGCTCTGTGCTGACTGCCGGCTCAGAGCCTGGAGCCTGTTTCAGTCTGTGACTCCCTCTCTCTCTGACCCTCCCCTGCTCACTCTCTCTCTCTCCTCTCTCTCTCTCTCCTAGAAATAAATAAAACATTAAAAATTTTGAAAAAAAAAAAAAAAGAAAGAGGGGGGAGAGTTGTCAGCCCCCATCGGCACCCTGAAGCCAAAACTTCTGTTCCGGCCTTGGTGTGGCAGCCCCACCCCCACCCCGGAGGGCCCCGAGGAGGCCGCCGTGGGGCGGGGTTTCAGCCAGAACCAGCTCCCAGCTGAGGGCCTCCAGTTGGGGCCCCTCCTCCGACCCTCATTCCCCGCAAGGATGTCCTGGGGCAGCTAGGTGCTCTGACTGAAGCCTCTGGGGGGTGGGAGGGAAGCTGGGGGTCTGCGTGATCTCCACCATCCGGGCAGCTCAGCAAGGCCCAGCCCTCCGGAGCCCCCCACATTGTGTGAAAGACGGAGCCTCACAGCATCGGGGCTGGAAAGACTCCTCCTGTCCATCCAATCCCGCCCCTCCTCCCAGACGGGGTGGTTGAGGCTCAGAGAGGGGAGGAGATGTGCCCAGAGTCACACAGCAGAAGGAGACTCCCGGCCTGGGCTCTACCCTCCCGCACTCTGAAGGCTGTGGGGTCCATCACAAGCCCGCTGCCGACCCCGCAGAGCCCTGTCCCCCACTGCCCATCAGCCCCCTCGCCACAGCCTTCCAGGCCCTGCAGACACGGGCTCTGGTTCCCAAGGCAGAGGCCTCCTGGCTCCTTCGTGATGGTCTCCAGAGTCAGAGGCCTTCCCAGAGCCTGTCGAGACTCAGCTGTGATTTATTCCCTGTTTCCCTTCCTGTTTATTCAACCCCTTGGCAAAAAGCCCCAGGGGGAGAATTTATGAGCAAGAAGGAGGGAAGCGGGGAGGGAAGGGACGGGAGACCAGTGTGTGTGGATGAAAAGGCGGAGGAGAGGGGAGGGAGAACAGAATTCAAGGGAAAAGCAACACAGAGCGCGTGATTGTGTGAGAGAGAAAACGACCAGTGCTGGCTTCGCAGCGGGGCTGGCTGGTCCCGGAAAACCCTCCCTGAGCCCCTCGGCTGCACCCGATGCTCCCGTGGGACGCCCGGGGTCGGGAGCAGGGCTTGGGGTCCCCAAGCCACTCCCAGGGGGACAGGCAGATGGAGACGCTGCACCAAGGAACCGCCCACCACCTCAGAGTACCAGTGTCCCCCGCCCCCCAAGCTTCAGCAAAGCCCCTGATGGCACCATATACAGAAGGGGCTCCTTTAACAGAGCCAGACACCAGGCAAGAAACAGCCGGGGCCCCTGTTCTCACCGGTTCCTGACCCATTCGACACATGGCTTTGAGCAAGATGGGTTCCCTCCCTGTTTCCTCCTCTGCCCGGTGAGGGGGACCCTGGGTGGTGGCTAAGGGGCCCTCCAGCTCCGACAGCCGAAGGGTTTGTGATTCCAGAGGCCACCCAGCTAAATGTCACCTCAGCACGAACGCCTTGAGCTTCCTCCCTACCTCTGGTTCTACCTTTGGTCATGTTTGATAAGTTCCATAATGAAACATCAAATCACAACAAACGTTAAAAACATGCATCTTTCTGGGGGACCTGGGTGGCTCGGTCAGTTAAGCATCCAACTTTGGCTCGGGTAGTGATCTCACAGTTCACGAGTTCAAGCCCCACATCAGGTGAGCTCGAGCCCCATTTCCGGCTCCACACACACTCTCCCCCTCTCTTCCCTTCTCTCGCTTTTCCCCTCGCTCACTCTCTCTCACTCACACACAAATAAATTAAAAATTAAAATAAAACATAATACACCCTTCTGTGATGCCCATGGAATGCACAGTAAGCAGTCAGAGAAACCATTCCTGCTGCAGGGAGAAATCATGTGACACCAACAAATGAGTTTGAACCTGAGGGGCTTAGGAGGGTGCCTGGTACCCTGGGGTGTCAGAGGTTTGCAGGGGCTCGGGTGGTGATGCAACAGAAAAGTTAGGTGCACAGTTTCCTTTTGCAAACCTTGTTTGCAAAACCATGCTCCATTGTCAAGGTCAGGCACTTGGGTATTGGCAAGAGTTTTAAACCCTCCCACATAACATGTATTTAACCACTCTGCCCTGATGAATACATCCTGATTCGTGTTTTATCTTAGTGTTGTTAGGCATGGGCTTTCTCTCGCTTTTAAGTATGTCCACACAATTACTAACTTATTATTTTCGAAAGAGAAAAAAGAGTAATTGGGGTCAAATAAATATTTTCACGAAGTTAAAAAAAAAAATGCCCCCCGACTGTCCCCACCTCACGCCGCCTTCCCTCTCCCTCCCTCTCCTCTGCCCCTCCCTCCGGTGCTAACGGCAGGTGCCCATCCTCCCAGAGCGCCCCCTTCCCTCAAGCCCCTCTGCCCCACGGAGGCAGGACTGGGGAGGCCGGAGTGTGGCTGGGAATGAAGGAGGCAGGTCCAGGTGAGGTCTGAACCACCCTAGCATCAGGACTGATTGGTGCCAGGGCCTTACCATGCCCCTGAGATCACTCCCGATTGACAGGTGGCTCTGCTGACCCCCACGCCCAGCCTCCACATCCTAACCCGACACAGGACCTGGATGGAACCTACGGACTAGCAAGGCCAGCTGCCTGGTTGGAGAGAGGAGAGGCAGGGACATTTGTTCGAAGTCACAAAGCAGAGTCTGTGCGGATTAGACATGATCTGACCGGCCTGTCCCCTGCGTGGAAACTCACAGGGGCTCCCCCTGCCCGCGGGACAAGGTCAGATACCCTGACCTTGCCACACAGCCTTTCAAGATCCGCTCCTGCCCCCATCCAGCCCCACGGCCCACTGGGTTCACCAGCCACTCCCCCTTCCCCCCCACGCCGTCCTTCCCCTGATGGCTCGGACTCCGCCTTCATGATCGCCCAGGTCCTCCTCTCCGTGGGGTCTGCTGGCCCACGTGGCAGAGCTGGGATGGAAAGCAACACTCCAGAGCCCACACTCCTCACCACTGCCAGGGCGGGGACAGCCGGTGGAGACCCGGTTCCCTTCCTGGCACCTGGCGGGGCACAGGCGGTCTGCAGGCAGGGGATGGCGGCCCTTGGGGGCCAGCTGCCGGTGGCCTTGCCTCACCACCCTGCGTTCTTGGAAGCGTCAAAGAGAAGGAAAGTCTAGATCCGGGCTTGTGCTGGGTGGAAAGGAAGATTCTTCTGCTTTCCAGCCCGCCCCATGCCTTTATTTTTCTGGAGCCTGGGCAGGACCACATGAGGAGCAAATGCTGCCCTGGGTGCTCTGAGGTGGGGCCAGGGCTCTGTCCCGCCCCACTGTGGCCCCCTGACACTGACACCTGGCTCTCCCCTCCCCACCTGCCTGTCCACCGTCAGCCTCAGCATCAGCGAGGGATGCTCGCAGCGCTAGCGGACACAGCGGCCCATCCGAGAACATGGTTTGCACCTGCCTCTGTCTCTTCTTGTCTATCTGACCTGAGGCAAGAACTGGAAACCCCTCCTGCCTCAGTTGTTCCATCAGGGAGATGGGGGCAATAACAGTTCCCACCTCACAGGGCTGCTGTACCGAGGAAACAAGGTAGGACATGTTAAGGGCTTGGCGGTGTGCCCAGCACATGGGCGGAACGCTGGACGTGCCAGTCATTATCAGAGGGCAGCGGGCGCCGGGCCAGGCTTCATCCTCAGCTCAGCCAGCTGCGTGATGGTGGGCAGGTCACTCTATTCCTCCAGGGTTAAATGAGCACCATCATTGCATCACCTCATAGCACTGAACATGGCACGGTGGTGGCCCTTCTCGAGAGGATATTAGTGACAATAACGTGCTTGTCCTCCAGGAGCTGGCAAGGACTGGCCTCTCGCCCAGCAGCCATGACCCTGGGACGCTGTTCAGGAACTGCTCAGAGAGACCTGTGTGTGCAGGGGTGCAGCGGCAGAGAGCAGTGACACAAGGAAAGGACATCGCTTTTCTGGAGTGTCTGTCCCCTACAGGCTCCTTACCCTCTCCCGGATGCCTCCAGCGCAGCTTAGGAAATTGGCCAGAGGCAGTGGCTCTGTTTTGCTAGAGAAATAAAGAAGCAACTTGCGGCCTGATCATCTCCAAGGAGAGACTATTAGGGAGACATTCCCGAGCAAGGAAGAGGAGGAAAAAAAGAAGAGGGGAAAAAAGAAGAAGGAAAAGAAAACTAGGTCATGAATCTGGAGATCTGGAACTGGCTGCTGTGTGACCTTGGACAAGTCACCTGACCTCTCTGGACGTCAGTTTCATCTTGTGTCCAGTTCGTGGTTTGAGGGGAGGGCGGGGAAGGCTGATCAATCCGCCCTCACCCAGCTGGCCTGGGAAACCACGCTCTGTGGTCTGGGAGGGCCGTCCTGGGCCCCCACACAGGTCACTTCCCAGATTTCTCCCAGTCCATTGGGACGTACTGCATGGGAATGCCAAGCCCAGCTTTCCTCAAAGCCACTTCCAAGCTGCCTGTCACCCTCCGCCCCCATCCCCCACACTGTCCGACAGCCCCAAGGCAAAGGCAAAGGCTGGCGGAGTCCCATTCGGTGGGAAGCAACAGCGGAAGTTCGTGGCATACCTGCTATATGCTTTATGCCGGGTTCGGGGGGGGGGGGGTATTAAGTCCTCACCCTCATAATAACCCAACAAGGAAACTGTTCATGTTTTCATTTGATGAATGAGGAAACCGAGGCTCAGAGAGGCAAAGTCACTTGCCCAAGGACACCAGTCAGTATGATTCCAGTCCAAAGTCAGCTCTTATTCTCAACTTAGAGATGGGGAGCATGGGGGTTAGAGAGCATGGAGGCCGTCCTAAGCAGAGGCTAATGCCATGAGCGCTGTCCTCACCCCCGGATATGGCAAAGAGGTCCCCTTCCTTCTGGTTCTGAG